GAATACTGCGAGGGATTTCAAAATGGAAAATTTAAAATGAGATCCGACAGCTCCACCACCTCTCTCAGAATCAAACAGGTAGAATTATCTGACTCTGGACTGTATTTCTGTGGATTTTACACAGAGGGACGTCTGTTTTTCAGTGTTATACATTTAAATGTTAAAGGTAAGTTTTGTCTTTCTTTTTTTTTCTTGGCACCAATGCTTTGTTTATTTATGTTCATGGTTTTAATATACTGTAATTTCACAAGTGTCTTCTACAAAGGCGACAAATTCACTGTTTTAACATACACAAATCTGTCAAAGTTAAATCAAGACTAAATGTATCTTCCTTTCTATAAAAGGCAGCGGTGAGCCACATGATGATGAGGAATACAACTGCAAAAGTAAGATTTTCCTAAAAATTTCTGTCATCTTTCCGATTATCCGATGTGTGAAGGTAAAGCAGTTCGGCCGAATTCAGTTTGAGCCAGGCCTCTAAAGCAAAAATTGAGTTTAACTTCATGATCTGTCTTGTAGAAGAGTCTGAGGGAATAGCAAAGCTGACGAGTGTGATCCTGGGTGCTCTGACTGTTGTCCTTGTGATAGTCATCGTTGGTCTGATTGTGAAAAACAGGAAACTTCAGACAGGTACTTTGTCAGAGCCACTGTGTGTATCTCATCTCATTCAAATGATCATTGAACTGACCAGATGTTTTGTTTCTGTGCCTTAAAGAAGCCAATAAAGAAGAACAGAATCCAGAGCAAAGTGAGGTAAATTCAATTTTAACATTTGCTTTTATATATTTTTTCAAAGAGCCCAACCAAAAAAACAGCCAGGACTAAATTGTATCAGCTACGATACGCTTGTCCCCGAAATAATGGTATATACAAAAATAAATAAATAAATAAATAAATGCAGGAAAAATATAAATATATTGTGGTATTAAAATTATGTCAAGTCACCATATTAAGACTGTTAATACTCTTGTCATAGAATGTGGGCTCTGATGACCTGAACTACGCAGCAGTGACATTTCGAACAACAAGAGCAAAAAGAAGAGAGCTGGAGCCAAATGTTGTTTATGCTGCCACCAGATAGACTCAGCAGGCGACTGGAACTGATGCTGGAGCATATTAATATGCTGCTTCAGAGCTTTTGTTTGCCTTGTAGGTGACAGGAACAACCACCATTTAGCAATAAAGATCTTATGCTGATTCATTTCCAAGTGTCTTTGTGCTGCACGGCGTTAATTCTCAGGATTGTCTTTCTCTCTAAGTCAAATTCTACTACGCAGAAGAAGAAAAAACAGTTGATTGGTGTTTGGTGGAGGAAGAGCCTGCCCAGAGTGACGTTCACATCACTTGTTAGACAGGAAGAGACAGCACAGTGTGGTCTGGCACAACAGAGGTGAAATTCATGAGGCCTGTTAGATTAGTTTCTAAAAATAAAATCTGAAAAGAAGCAGTAAATACTGACTGAAGAAATTTGAAGCCTTGAGCTGTATAGAAGTTTTGGAAAAACATACATCAAGGTTAAAACTGAATATTTTTTAACTGATATCATAATAAGTTTGTTAAATAATTTGCTACATCTCTGAATTATCAATACATATACACACATGCATATTAAAGAAAATTATTAAAAGCAGTTATAGTTGCACACCCCCATGAGTCTTTTTTTGCAAGTGGCATCAGTCGTGCAGTCTATCAGTATGGACAGAACACAGTCTGAGGAGGTGTTGCAGTGGGGTTTCAACTCACCTTTCTTTGATCTTGTGAATCCTGCAATGCCCTAGTGGCCCAGCCCAGGGGGCAATGCCTTGGTGGCAGTTGCTGAAAGCGGCTTCCCAATGCCTAAGGTGTGGGAAGTGTAACCCTGTAAGGGTGTGAATCACAATGATATTGTATCAATTATTTTGACAACAAAACAATATTTGTTGATATCAAAGAGTCTGACACGGCACAATTTGGATTCAACTTAATACAGTTGCCTGCAGTCGACATGAGACAATATCAGTACATATCCTCTTTGTCTTCTTCTTGGCAGCTATCCGTTGTCTGTCTGGTGCTAGGCCACTACAACTGCTTGAATGTTTAGGAAGTAGTTGAGCATGGACAGAGACATGCCATGGAAAGGTCAAAATTACGGCCTATCCTGATTATGACAACATATCAGTGTTGTCAGTTTGCATCAATAATATCGGATTGTTAATCATTGAATTGATATTCATCCAGATAAATGTATTGTTACACCTCTATTAACTCTCTTGCACAAGGTTGCTTAACCAAAGAAGTCATATGATCTCGGCGAACAAGGGTGCTGTGGCAAAATTACTCAATATAAAAGTATCTGAATGTCATCATGAATAATTATAACTGTATGAATGTATGATTCATCCATGATCATAGGTCTAGGTTAGGTCTTTTCAGAGGCCTCAAAGTCCTTCACCATCTGAATGTAGCCATATGAGGAGGCTCCAGCGTGATATTGTAAGTAAGTTTAGACTCCAATGATTGTTCAACAAAATGAAGACTGACCAAGAGTACAAGTTTACTACATCAAGGAGGGTCCCGTATTAAGTTCTGGAGGTAAGTTCCCCCCATACCCAATCAGCATAGATCCTCCACCACTCCTTGAATTGGCAGGATGTGGCACTTTATGGAAATTTCCAGCAGCATCTGCCTGTGGTTGAACAACACGTTCTCATCCCAAGTCATCACATATTGCAGCTTTTTCAGTGGCCTTTCATGTCTGCATATTACGCCCTTGGTATCCTCTTACATCTGCTGTTGAAGATTGGGGACACCACGACCAATGCCAGGCCATCAACAAAAGCACATGGTAAGGTTTAGGAAACAAACATCATGGTTTGGCTCTACATTCATACGGGAAGCAAATACTTAGCTCATGGGTGAAAGTACGCTGATTGTTGAACCCATCCACCAACCCTTCCGCCCACCCTATAGAGACTTTCCAGCTCCTTATATTATGTTATTACCGACAGTTTTACATTCTGAAGCCACCTAGAGGCATATCATACCGACGTGACAGGTGCCGTTCAGCAGACTGGTGACATATCATAACGCCGTGAAAGGTTCAGTCCAGTCGTGTTACAAACTGATGCCACCCAATGGTGTATCACACTGCCATGAAAATGGGCTTTTGGCGCAGGAACGAGAATGGGCTGGGTTGAAGCAAGCAAGGCACGTTTCCTGCTGAAGGTGATGTGCAACTACGCATAAAGCATTTCATTCAGTCTCACTTTAGGCATGTCTTTGTGTCTTCATTTTGGATGAGGGGATTAGTTTTGACATGTCATTTACAAATAATAGTGACTTCTGTAGGAAAAGTATTGTCAAATAATATGGTCTGAAGAACAACATAACATTATAGCCAACCTTCTGCATCAACACGTGTCTTGCTGAAAGCATTAATGTGGTCAGTTTGAACAACAGGAAAGGCATCAAAAAAACTGCCACCTCTTTACGTTGAAAGCAGCCTCACTGGAGCAGAGTTCAGTTGCGGACATTGCAGAGCTTCTGTCACACACACCATGAAGAACTCTAACTTTATTATAGTTTTAAGTCTCTTCAGCTAAAGTAAGTACTGGCATTAAATTACTTTCAGCTGCATTTATAACGTTGGTAACTTTATCTCACCAGAATTTAAACTATTCACTGATTTCAAAGATCATTTACATATTTGTTTGAGTTGAGTTGAGGTTCTTTAATTGTTTGGTTTCATCTGAATCCTTTTTTGTCTCAGGCTGGATCTCTGTCTCAGTTTCTGAGACTGTGGACGTCCAGTCTGGTGAAGACGTCACACTGCAGTGCTCCAACATGGTCAAACGTGAATCTGTGACATTGTGGTTCAGACTGGTGAAAAAAACCAAGGCCAGCTGTATCTCTGTTATGTTCCGTGCTGACGAGGACGCTGAATACTGCGAGGGATTTCAAAATGGAAAATTTAAAATGAGATCCGACAGCTCCACCACCTCTCTCAGAATCAAACAGATGGATTTATCTGACTCTGGACTGTATTTCTGTGGATTTTACACAGAGGGACGTCTGTTTTTCAGTGTTATACATTTAAATGTTAAAGGTAAATTTTGTCTTTCTTTTGTTTTCTTGGTCCCCATGCTTTGGTCATTTATGTTCATAGTTTTAATATACTGTAATTTCACAAGTGTCTTCTACAAAGGCGACAAATTGACTGTTTTAACATAGAGGTGATTATGACACAAATCTGTCAAAGTAAAATCACAACTAAATTTATTTTTCTTTAAAAGGCAGTGATGATGTGGACTACATTACAGGTACAATTTTCCTAAAATTTTCCATCCAAGTGCAGATTATCTGATGTGTGAAAGCAGTTTAAGCATCCTAAGCAATAACAGAGTTTAACTTAATGATGTTTCTTGTAGAAGAGTCTGATGGAAAAGCAAACCTGTCGAGTGTGATCCTGGGCGCTCTGACTGTTGTCCTTGTGATGGTCAACATTGGTCTGGTTGTGAAAAACAGGAAACTTCAGACAGGTAATTCATAAGATCTACTGGATATGTGTGTCAGCACCATGAAAAACTACAAAATTGCTTATAGCCTAAATGTAGTAACAGCAAAAAGTAAGCATAATGATTATAAATTAACTAATTAGACATATTGTCTCTGTCATTCAGCTGCCAGGGAAGGACAGAATCCACAACAGCTTGAGGTGAGTCTAGTTACATCATCATCTAGTTACATAGTTATATGTTTTAAAACTTTACATTTGGTTTGTTTTCTCACTAACTCAGCTATCTGACATGTATCTGTTTGTTCTCTCTTTATAGACTCTGGGCTCTGATGGCCTGAAAGATGCAGCACTGGCTTTGTGCTTGCCAACAGTGAGGAACAGGAGGCCTGCATCACAGAGAGAAGTGGAGACTCATGTTATTTATGCTGCCCGCAGATAGACTCAGAGAGGAACTGATGCTTTTATCACATTAATCTGCTACTGTGTTCTTTTGAGGCTGGATGGGAGGAGTTATCATTTTCTTAATGGAAAAAAAGTCAAAGAAAATAGTAAATATGTATTTTTTTTCATAGCTCTCAGTCTGTTTTGCAAATATTATCTGATTTGGTAACTGTGTTACATGCCTGAATTAAAAATGAAATATATTTTTAAAAAGATTTCTGGTTGTATTTATGAATGTGGGAATTTCTGATGCTCATTGTTGCACTTTGCACTGTGGTGACACACAGCACTGTCTGCATCAGGGAGATATCTGTACCTTTTCACTTCTTACAAACTCGGACACCATTTTATCTTCACATGGTTGATAAGCATCATCTAGCTTGTGAAAGGATGCTTGAAGCAGAGTGACAGTTTCACATCCTCATATGAAACCATTCACTCTACAGGCTTCACTTGTGTAAGACATGGCAGATACTCTTATCACTGTACTAACTACTCGCGACAGAAAGACAATAAGTACATGTCCTATTATTATCTGTGACACAGCCCATTTCCATCAAAGGTGCTTTACAACAACTGTTTCCACTTACAGTTGTTGCAGCTGGCTATAGGGGCGGGGTGATAAGCTAGCACATTTTAAAGAGATAGTTCAGATCTTTTGAAGGGGGGGTTTGTATGAGGGACTTACCCACAGTCAGTGTGTTACCTACAGTAATGTGGGCACGCCTGGTGTTGGGCATTAGCATCACTACAAGTAGCAAGGTTACTAACTTAACTGCATTTCTCAGTAGTGTGGTGGTGACGTCACTACTTTCTCAAGTGTCAAATAGCTTTACAGTAGGAAAGCTGATTTAAGGTTTCAAGTTCTTTTTCCTGGGAGGTGCAGCAGCCTTTTTTTCGGCAGAGGTCTGGATAAAAGAAAGGGTAGTGAAACTGAGGATAAGTTATGTTACTGATGCCAGCGCCACACCGAGGCAGGTAGACATGGGATACACTTGTATGCGACATCACATACTGAACCTTCAGTTTACTTAGGACGCTACAATACCAGAGTGACGGCACTTAACATGACTCCTGTGGTATGCTGAAGTTAAGCCTCATGCGCCCTCTAGTGGGGCATGAGGGCATTACATTTCCGGCCAGAAAACCCATTCACTTACAGTATGTCTGACGCACACTTGCTTGTAAATTGATGAAAACGGCCTTGTTTTTACTTTTAGGTGTCTTATAATTTGTTTATTTCAAAATGTAGAGAGTAACATTATGGTAGACAACTGTTTCTTTGGGGGGTTTTTTTACCTGTAAACGGTAGATTACAGTAGATTATGGTAGATTATGCTTTTAGGTTTGCTTGACTTTGGAAACGCACAAGAATTCCTGGTCAGCAGAATGCAGCAATACTGAAGTTCAGTCAGTTCTTGGTCGGATATGCAACACGCTATCCAGCCACTAGAGGGCACGTGACCAACTTCCCGCTTGACCAATGTGTGCCGCTACTGGTATTGTAGGGTCCTAGGCAAGACATGCCCCACTCTGCCTCTGATTGGCTCCATTGGCTCCATATTTGTGTGTCTTGCCCACAGACTGTATATATATTAAGTGGATTTGAAGTGGACACTAAATAAATAGACACAACAAGGGCCGAGAAAAGAGACAGAGAGAGAACAGTGTTAAGTAGGAAGAGAGGGGACAGAGAGTGACATACTGATGTCACGTGTTATTTGCAGGACGTGTTCATGTTTTAATGTCCCAAAGAAAAGAAAATATGTTAATACAGGTCTCTTATTTTCATTGTTTGTATTATTGTCTTTTGACTGATGATGTCATGTTATTGGAGGACACGTTCAAATGTCACAATGTCTTCAAAAAAAAACAACATTTTTTTAGTAAACAGTTCAACTGAACTTTTCTAGCCTTTCAATTTGTTTCGCTGACAGTTTTTCTTATCACTGAGAAAATGCTGATTTGACATGAAGTCAAAAAATAAAAGTGGCTTTGCAACTAGCAAGCTACTCTTGCCATTTTCTCGTAGCTTAGCTTGCTATATTTCTCTGGGGATTGCTTCAACGTAATGGAACTTCATTTTGACATAGGATAACTGGCAGCTTAGCTCACTACATTTTCCAAGTCGCTTGTCCAACACTGCACACGCCCCCAACTGAGAAGCAGACAGGAGTACTGACACAGAAGCTGTGCAATGTACTGTTTTGGAGGGGTCAGCAGCAAAACATATTTTAGTCACCTCAAAAATCCATGGCATCCAATCCATGGCAGTCTGCTGTCATCTGTTAGGTCAAAGCTCTGTGAGAATAAAGTTTGGAATGAAGCCACAAAAACTGTATGACTTTGAACAGGTTCGACATTTTTGCAAAACAATGTGTCACATGCCTGAACTAAAAACACAATCTCTTTTAAAAAAAGACTGCCAGTTGAATTTATAAAGAAAAACATTTCTGAAACCTACATGCCCAGTGTTGCAATTTGCACAGTTGGCACATATCTGTATCTTTACACTTCTGACAGACTTGAATACTACTTAACTGAATTAACTGAAAGAAAGTAGTTTCATGACTTGTTATATTATCTGGGGGGCTGGAGGGGGATGGTGTGGCAATATGGAGATGATAGTGTACATTTCCAGACAGTTGCTAGTGCAAGGCAGAATAGTGTTGCACTCACAAAACTCAGAAAGAGACAGGAATAGTTGTTGGGCTAGAGAGAGAAGTTCAAACTCTACCAAACACTGCATGAAATATGTGTGAATGGTTTCAGAGATTTGCAGAAATTGCCAGGCTCAAAACCACCAAATCTAATGTCAGAAAGCTGTTTCACAACACAACACTCACAAGAAACCGCATGAACTGTATCAGGTTTGTTGAGATATTTTTAATCTCTATAACCAAAGCAGAGAGGCTCAGTGTTCGACTACTGTATGGATACAGTAGTCGAACAATAAAGTATGTAAACACCTAACACCTTATCAAGTGTTCCTGCTAACAGCACTGTATGTTAAATATAGATAACCTACAGTGCAATTCAGAGTACATCATCATCTGTATTTGTATCTGTATCTGCTCAACCAACTAAATTGACCTTTTGCTAAGTTCCGCCACCAGATGCAAACTGGCCAATCATAACGTAGCATCGGGTCGGCTCAGACCAGGGTCCTACAACAACACAGCTGTGCTCCATTGACTCTAATGCAATCATTTCAGATTTCCTTCATTTTCAGGCTGGTTTTGTGGATTTGGAGCTAAATGTTGTGCCTGGGGCACGTCGTGTATTAATGATAATCGTTACCTGGAGAGGCTGGAAAAAGATATTTCTTCCCTGTTCCAAAAGCAAAATCACACCCTGAAAAGTGTAGGGTTAGCTAGCTAGCTACTGAAGATATAGCCTACTGAATGTATACACATGCTGCTTTTGCTTTTTAATGATTATAACAGTGAAAAAAAGACCGACCCTGCTGTACAGGAACAAGTGAAGGGAACATCCTGGATATATCCTTCAAACACAGACTGTAGACCCCTCTGTCTGCTTTTCTCTGGAATCACTATTTCTTTTTTCCAAATATATGATAATATTTCTTCAAGGAGTGCAGTTAGTTACAGGTTAGGCTCATTGCTTATTCTGACAGTTTGTCAGACTATAACAAACAAGCAGGACTTACCAAAAGGTCAATCATCTGTAACCGTGTATGGCCTGAAAATGGGTGAGGTTTCGATTTAAAGTAGGTGGGGAAGTTGTTATTTTAAGTATGAAACTGTTATCAGATGATCAGAACTTGGTATATTTATTATTTTTTAGAAAACTATTTACAAAACAATCTGAGAATCGAGCTTCAGATCATTTTGGATCACGTGAATAAGACAAAACGTGTCCCACAACATACAGTAAGGCTTGTTGTATTTTGCTGAGCTTTAAGAGGAGAGAGGAGTCAATGACGACGTTAAACAGTCATCAAAACAGGTTTTTCAACAATTGTGAATAACCGCAACCCAAAGAGGTCCTTGAGCGTACAGTCATAAAATGTGGCCAGGCTTACACCTGGTGGAGATAATTACGTAGTTCAGTTGTCATGGATACAATGACCTCTTCAGATGAAACACACATGCCTAGCATCTGTGTGGTAAACCACTAAAGTCTGTGAATAGATAACACATAGAAAAAAGGAAGTTTCTCACTTACAGAGCGTGACAATGTGAAGCTTCAGATACAGACACAAACATGCATCTTTCAGTCATTACATGAGTTTAAACTTTGCTGGTCTTTATGTTCTTCCTGTCTGGGCCTGTTAGTTTCCCAGTGTGTTATCTGTAGTTCTGTACGCTGCTATTCAAACAACCTCCAACAAGTCTTTTAAGGACTACATTTCCCAACATCTCTCAGCTGTCTGCTAAAGTCAGTTTATGGTGGAGGTTATGTGAATCTTATTTTGTATAAGAGGTTAAGATGGGACTGTCTTAGATAAAGGCCTTGATGTATCTGATGTATATTTTTTAATTTGCTTTGAACATAACTTTGGTAGCTTAAAATGAATCAATAATAACTGTCTCAAATCTCCTGAGGCCATCATTCAGCATCATGACTCGTGTTACTGACGGCATGTATGTGCTCAATTTAACGACTGGATAAGAGAAAAAAAAAACAAAGACCCGCCTCTTAAGTTGACAGCACCCTTCCTGGAGCACAGTTAGACGTTGCAGAGCTGCCATCGTACACACTATGATGGAGTGTACCTTGATAAGAGCTTTAATCATCTGCAGCCTCGGTAAGTACTGCCAACATATTTCTCTCAACTCCATCACAACTAAAACATATTTGCATATTATTATATTTATTAAGAGGTGTTTTTATCTTCCTGTATCTCTCTTATCGTGTCTGTTTCAGGCTGGATCTCTGTCTCAGCTGCTGATTCTCAGACTGTGGAGGTCCAGTCTGGTAAAGAAGTCTCTCTCACATGCTCTAAGAAGTCTGACTCTGCAACAGTGTGGTTCAGAGTGGTCAACAGAACCAAGGCCAGCTGGATCTCCACTATGCTCGGCTCTAACAATGTTCCTTCGTACTGTGATGGATGTCAAAGTGGAAAATTTGAAATGAGTTCCGACACCCTCAAAATGAAGACAGTGGCTGTATCTGACTCTGGACTGTATTACTGTGTTGTTTACAGCGGTGGACAGACATTTTTCACCACCATACATTTAAATGTTGAAGGTAAGAGTATTATATAATCCATGTCTTTCAAAATTTTCTAATTTAATAATTGATCTTAAAGAACCCATGTGACTAATTGATTTTCATAACGAGAGTGATACAATTTTTTCCAACTAAAATCAAGAGTAAATATTTTTGAAAGACAGTGATGATGATGATGATGATGATGATGATGACAGAAAGTCTAAAAGTAAAATTTTTTTCATTGTGTAGATTCACTGCTGGTGATTTTAAGATATAAAAAAACAGTATGCTAACTCATTCAATTTAATGGTTTCACGGTTCTCAAGTGTAAAATAGAGTCTCACTGTATCATCTTTCTTTCTTCAGAGTCTGATGATGTAACAAAGCTGATGAGTGTGATCCTGGGCGGTCTGACTGCTGTTCTCCTAACAGTCATCATTGGTCTGGTTGTTACAATCAGGAAACTTCAGAAAGGTACTTTCTAATGGATACTGTTTATACCTTGTGTTATTTATTTATTTTCCTTATTCTACATTTCGGCGTTGTGTGAATTAGAGTTTTGATCCTCTGCCCAAACCTGATTAGGACTGATTCTTTGGGCCTGATCAAAGCTCTAGTGTCGATATATTAAAATGCAAAATTCCATGTTGCCAAAACAGAACAACAGTTAAGTTTAAGGAAAATAATTGTCAGTTACCTGATTGCACATATTGTCTCTGTCATTCAGCTGCCAGTGGAGAACAGAATCCACCACAGCGTGAGGTGAATGAAGTGTTTTTGTTATTGTTTTATCATTTTAAATTATGTCTTGTCATGAGACCATTTGACTAAATTTCAGCTCGGAAAGACAAGTAAGAGTAAATATTGTGTTTTACAGAATCCGGGCTCTGATGATCTGAACTACGCAGCAGTGACGTTCTGTCAAAAAGGAAGAAGAAGAGAAGTGGAGCAGAATGTTGTGTATTCTTCTACTAGATAGGAAGATCAGGAAGCAACCTGAGGTGTTGTTCAGAGTAAAACTGATGCTTTGACATATTAATCTGCAGATGTGCTTTTGTGTTAGTGGTGGACTTACCATTACTGTGTCAAAAGAAAAAGAAATGTGAAGGCCTATTCCTAGTAATGTGTTCTATTCCTGTTCCTCTTTTGAAAGATGTAATCAGAGTACATCAATACAGAAAGTAGATATTTTAAATATTGACTTAATACTCTGAGTGTCTATACTGGTATGAGGAATAAAAATACAAAGATGCAGCAGCCATCCAGCTTTAAATTTCTTTTCATGTACTGTACATGTAACAAGTCTACTGTCTACTGTGGTAAGAAAACAGCGCTGTGGGTACCAGCCTAAAGAGAAGTCTCAACCACAGGAGGACTGGCCTTCAGCTGAGTTCCATTTATTTTAATGTGTTACTTTTGTAATGTAGCATCAGCTGCAAAACAAACTTTGTACATACATAGTTGGCTGCAGGCAAACCATTCGACTTTGTGAATTAGTGTGTTCAACTTGTTAACTTTGTTACTTAGGAGGGCTTTTGAACCAGTTTTGAGTTTGTGAATATAAGTTTGTATCGTAGTGTACTTTATAGTGTTATTAGTTGGTTTTCTGGTACTCTTTTGTTCGGTCACTATAGAGCTCTTCTAAGCAGTTTAAGTAGGAGTGAGGAGCCCTCTTTGTTTGGCATTGTTCTGGTTTTTTTTTCTCTTGTTTCATATTTTATGAGTCTAGGTGAGAAACTTGTCTTTTGTTTAATGAGGTTTTTTTTGTTAGGTAAGTTTGGGCCAATAACTCGGGCCAGTAACTTAGGGCCATAAGTTTTGTTTGTTGTTTTGGGCACTGTTTATCTCTGAAGTCTAATAAACTGCTCACTTCATTTTCTGAAATACTGTGTAGCTGGCCTTTCTTCAGAGTGGGGAGTCACCCTACATGTTATGTGTAGGTTCCTCTAGACATAACTTAACAACACATAAAACATGGCTTAATAGTGACAACATGAAGTACAAAATTCGTCTCATTATAACTCACGTGGTTTAAACACAAAACAAATATGTTTTGCTAGTCACATTTTCCCCATGAGCGGCGTTTTTCTCTACTCACATGAAGCCAGCAACAATGGCAACATTTAGTCCACCAAAGGTGACATTACAAAGTCAGCTTCATTATGACAAGGTTTACCTACTAGACACATTTTCCCCCAACATATACAATGCTAACATTATTAGCATAAGTCTTAGACATTTTACATTGCATAAATTAACCAAGGAGCTAGCGGACTTTTCAACTACTCACAAGAACGTGGGAACAACAGCAACATTTAATTGAAGTAACATTACAAAATTTGGCTCAATTATGACTCACAATATTCACAGACAAAACAAGGCCATGTTTACCCCACACATACAACATGCTAATGTTATTAGCATTAGCCTATGACATTTCCAATTGCATAAATTAGCCTAGTAGCTAGCAGACTTTTCCTTTTACTCATGTGAAGCCAGGATAAATCACACATATGACTTCAAATGCTATTTTGTAGGAGCTTTATTGTCTTTGCAACTTATTGTTTATCTGTGAAATAAAAATACATACAAGCTTCATTTACAGTGAGGGAAATTGTTTTCAGTTTACAATAATTAACAGGAGGTCTGCGTCACCACAGCTCAGCCTGCAGCCATTCATTTAAAAAAAAAAAAAAAAAGCAAAATCCAGCAACTGACGACCCAAAGATAAACAATCCACTTTTTCTCTACCCACAAATACCCATACCTTTCCTAACACTCTCCTAACATAATTATCAATCAGCTACACCTTGTGGCATCACCTTAGCTGCACATGATTGGTGGAACAAATGACAATCAATAAAACAACCAATCAGATGCACAGAACATAGAACAGTCCTGCCTTGTCATTCAGTGGCCCTCTAACAATCAGTGTTAAAGGGACAGGTCACCCCAAAACCCTGTCTTAATTTAGGTGGTGCTCCAATTTAATTCTACATTCTAGCCAAGGTCTGTCTCTCACTTATTGTGTTTGCCTTAGAGCTCAAATCTGACAATAAAAGAATATGATTGGTGTTTGATGGAGCAGGAGTCAGAGAGAGCTGTCTGTCTGCAGCGCCGCTGTGGAGGAGTGAGGTACACATCACTTGTTGACAGGAAGACACAGCACAGTGTGGTGGGAGTGCAACAGAGGTAAAATCCATGAGGCCTTTTGACTCCAGGCTCTGTGAGAATAAAGTCTGAAATATGCTGTCCATCTACCTGTTGTTACCCATCATGCTTCTGAGGCGACACGCAGCACTGTCTGTATCTGTATCATTAATGTGGTGTGAACCAGAGGAAGGTCTGCCTTCAGCTCTCTGCATCATAACCACACACAACAAACGTATTTATGTTCCCACAGAGTAAAAGTCACATATGTATATCTTCATACAGTGAAGGTATTTTTGTATTATTAGATGCTGTTAGTGGTTAATTACTCTCAAACGCAGTCACTGCTCCTCTCATCACACTCAACAGACTCAACACTCACACAAACAAGATCATTGGAGCGGTGCATGAAATACAAAATGAGTGAGAGAATGAAAGAATAAATGAACTACAGGGTCAAACTTCTATAGAGTTAAGTGCCAGCATCAGTCCAGTGATCTATTCAGTGCTATATGTCGGATATGTGAGTACTCTGACACATCTTTTTTAGACTTATAGACTTTTGCTAAAACATTACCTTGATAATCTAAAGTGTTATCAGATAAGATAATAACTATGTATTGTTCTCCTTGCAGCTGTTACCATGCAACCATGGTCGTGACAGTATTCACATTGTGAGACTGAGCAGCCGGAAAACCAACAGAACAGCCCACCTCTTTACGTAGAGACCAGTCTTACTGGAGCAAAGTACAGTTACAGACATAGCAACAATGCAGCCATACTGTACACACAAAGATGAGCTTCACCTTGATAACAGCTTTGCTCTGGACCTGCAGTAAGTACACTTTTTTTCTTAGTACAAGAACTGCAGTAATCTACCGAAGCTAAAATCTAAACTTTCATGGACAACGTAATTTACATACATTGTGTTAAATTTTAAGTTTATGTATTCACATCATGTTGTTTGTTTCAGGTTTGATCTCCGTCTCTGTTTCGGAATTCCACACTGTGGAGGTCCAGCCTGGTGAACAGGTCACACTCATGTGCTCCAACTTTACCAGTTTTATCTCTCACATATTATGGTTCAGACTGACCAGGAGAGCCAACATCAGCTGTATCTCCTCTATGTGGAGCTCTGATATAGACGCTTCATTCTGTGATGGATTTCAAAATGGCAAATTTAATATGACCTCCAACACAACTACCCTCTTTCTCACCATCAAACCAGTGGATGTGTCTGACTCTGGACTGTATTTCTGTGGACTTAATGCAAATGGAAACCCAGTAATTGTCAGTGCAACATATTTAAATGTTCAAGGTAAGAATATTTTCTTTACATCAGCAAGAGTCACATATGTGCCCTCAACTCGCAAGAGGTAAAATATGATACAAATAGTTTTATGTAATGACCTGTTGTTGCAGAGGTGTCTGCTGAAATAACGAGCCTGACGAGTGTGATCCTGGGTGCTCTGCTTATTTTCCTCGTTGCAGTCATCATTGGTCTGGATGTCAAAATCAGGAAACTTCATCCAGGTACTTATATGTTTTTATTTAAGTGCAAATGCAAAACTTACTGTTTGCCAGAAAGTATTAACAGCTGTGTGTTTGAGACGTTAAGTGACCAGATGTTGTGTTTCTGTCAATCAGCTCATACAGAGGGACAGAATCTACACCACAGTGAGGTCCTCACATTTTAAACTTATTAACATTGATCAAAGTGTATTTTATGTGATGACTGGTCCAAGTCCTTTCTCATTTTATGATATGATGTTTAATGACAAACTCAGCCATGTAAGATGAGTGACTGTAAATATGTTTATTTACAGAACCTGGGCTCTGATGATATGAACTATGCAGCACTGAGTTTCCATCAAAGAGCAAAAAGCAGCAGAAGGCCTCCATCAGAGAACCAGCTGGAGACACATGTTGTGTATGCTGCCACCAGATAGACTCTGGAAACATCTGGAACTGCAGCTCAGGAAACTGATACTGAAAGAAGACCGCCACTGTGATAAAAAAAAACAAAATCAAATTTTGTGATAAAGATTCTTCATTCATGCAGATTTTATTTCTTCTTTTCAGCCAAAGTCTTCTTCTTACTCATTGTGTTTGTCATAGATGTTAATCTGAGAACAATGTTTATAATTGGTGTTTGATGGAGGAAGAGTCAGTCGGGACATCGATGACTGTTCTCATTTCCTTACAGTTCGACGGAGGTCTGCAGCAGTGAGTAAGGTACACATCACTTGTTTGACAGGAAGAGACCACACAGTGTGGTCTGAGGTGAAAATCATAAGGGCTGTTAACTCAAAGCTTTGTGAGAATTAAATCTGAAATCCAGCAGTGAAGACTTGTGTGCTGTCTTCTGTCAAGTAGGCAAAGTAAGAAAAGAATAAAATGCATCAACATTAGAACTGAATAATTAAACTGTAATATCAAATCATGCATGTGTCTATATTTATGTTAAATGTCTGAATTAAAAAAAATGGGTTGTATTTAAAAATTCTTTTTGTTCGTGCAGCAAAAAACTCTGATTTTTTTCATCCAACAACAAAAAGCATCAGGAGTTCTGCATCAGAGAGAGAAGTAGAGCCAAATGTTAGTTACACTGCCACCTGACAGATTTAGGAAGCAGCTGGAACTGCAGCTCAAAGTGGAGCTGATGCTTTGTCACGTTAACCTGCTGCTGTGCTTTGTATGGGTGGCTGTGGGTTACAGTCACTTCACCTCTAACCTGTGTCTTCTTTTCTCTCACTGAGTTATTGTGGTTTGCCTCAGAGCTCAAATCTGAGAACAAACAAATGTGATTTCTTTTTTTTTTTGTTTTGGTTCCTGCTGTTGAGTTGCCTGTAACTTATGTTGCTGCCTGTTTTGGCCATGACACTCTTAAAACAGAAATGATTGATCTCAAAAGGTTTTTCTGGTTAAAGAAAGGTTAGTGAATAAAATAATGACCTGTGGAGTCTGTATCTGTGGAGAACCTGTATTTTCTTATTTCCTTGTTACTTTGCTGTTTTTGGGACCTTTGTGGGTTTCAGTCTGGGGGTAGTGACGGCTCCTGCCAATAGCAGCAGAGGTCAGGACTCCATAAAACATAGCCACCAGGTTCCTTTGCTGTCTTCGTCTCTCTCTTCTGCTCTGTTGATGGGAACTGCAGGTCTGTGTATTGAGTATGAGGTTGAGCTGTACACACACAGAGCAGAGGAGCCAAGCTGACAGGATGAAGCAAAAATCGGGCAATGCAGCACCTTCCTGCAGGGGTGTGCGGACCTTTGGGTGTGTTTATATTTGAGTCAAGATGGAAGTAAAGATAACAATGAACAGGGACTAATTCATCTGGTATTGTGCCTAACTTTAGTGGATCTTAACATAACAGGTATGGAGTTAATCTGCAGATGCTCAGGTTAAAAGTGAGACCATACTTTTCTATGGACGTAAGTTTTGAATCACAACAAAGGCCAAATTGTGCCCTGCAACAGATGGTAAGGCTTGTTGTCTTTAGTTGTTTCTGGATAATTTGCAGTTCCTTCCTGCTGGTTCAGAGGAGTGAGGAGTGAGCAGTCAGTGACAGTATAAAACAGTCAGTAAAATAGATTTTTCATCAATTGTAAATAGCCACAACCATGAGAGGTCCTTGAACATACAGTCATGAATATGCACACAACATATTAGGCTGATTGGCCCAGTAGTTTGTGAGATTAGCTCACGCCTAGTGCAGGCGCAGTTGTCATTTTCACGCCCTGCGCCCTCATCGTCTATCTATAATGAACTTGCGCTTCTCTGGGTGTGTTGGTCTAAAAATGAGGAGTGGTCAGGCGCAGTCATGGCGCGTTGCTAGTTAGATGGCGTAAAAAGCAAATGCGCCAGTGACCAACAAAAACCTGGTCTAAAGTCAACGGCGCAGTATTTCGCTGTTAAACAAGTTAGTAATATGCGTCTCTAGGCGGGTGCACAACGCGCGTGCACTCTGCTCAGACACACACGGAGCAGCCACACATGCAAAAGATAGCAAATAAAAATATATTTACAATGTGAAAGGTTATTATTGTGCACATTAAANAATATACGTCATGATTCAGTAGCTCTACTTCCATTGCACTTAGTCAGATTTTGTTTTTATCATTACTCCTACTCTTCCACCTTTTAGTAATTGCTTTTCATGCCAATGGAGGGAGAGGTTGTTCTGCATGTGCAATTATTTGTGGCAAGTTTTCTCTCAAATTGCATCTGACACAGATATAACATGATATTATATGAGTCTCCTTGAACCAAACTATCTTGAGCTTAAATATGTATAAAGGCGCCGCATAAATGGCAAGTTAGTGTGAGCGGCAACATCAAAACAAAAGACACCCCGCCTCTCTAAACCTCTTTATAAGAGCTCAGTGGCACAAACTGTTCTCGCAGTGACACAATGAAACGCACAATGAGGAGCTTCACTTTGACAACAGCTTTACTTCTCTGCAGCCTCAGTAAGTACTGACACTTGATTATACTCAGCATCAAATCATGTAACACTAGAATTTCAACTCTATCCAAAAGGGGTAAATCTCTTGCTGACTCTACTGTTTGTTTCAGGCTGGATCTCTGTCTCAGGTTCGGAGTCTCAGACTGTGGAGGTCCAGCCTGGTGAAGAAGTCACACTGACGTGCACCAACATTTCCAGCAGACCATGTCAGACCGACTGGTTCAGACTGATCAACAGAACCAAGCCCAGCTGCATCTCCTCCATGTACTGGGCTGATGGTGTGGCTTCGTTCTGTGATGGATTTCAAAGTGGATTTGAAATGAGCTCCAACATCTCCACTGTCTTTCTTAAAATCAAGCGAGTGGATTTATCTGACTCTGGAGTGTATTTCTGTGGATTCTACAAAGACACACATACAGTCATTGGCGATGCAACACATTTGAAAATTCAAGGTAAGATTAAGCCTAACTACCATTACACATTATTCTTATTATTATTCTTATTATTTTATTTATTTCCAAGGTAATGCTGATTTGGATGACGAAGTGGATTTTGAGACTGAAAGTAAGGCTTTTTTTAAAAAAAAAATAATAATAATATTTTTCTCAAGATGATATTAATATTAATATAATCAATATGACAGTAATAATGAGCAATATTTGGTTTGTAATATTAACAATGTTTAAAGCCATTATAAATACACGAGAAACCTAAATTAAAAATCCTTCTTGTAGACGACCATGATGCACTAAGAAACCTCATGACTGTGATCCTGGGCGCTCTGATGGTTTTCTTCATGGTGGCAGTCATTGTTCTGGCTGTTAAAATCAAGCAACGTCAGAAAGGTACAGCTGATGTATCATTTGTTGCACAACCTGTTGTATAAACCTGTAACAAATAAATCCAAAGCAAAGTATTTGGTCAGTGATTTTTATCTAATCAGGCTGATCTTTTGTCACATAGCTGAAAATGAAGAACTGCATCCTGAAAGAAACAAGGTAAAGTATTAGCCTTTCTATACAGTCTTTCATGATGGTATGAATTAGTATTTGACTTTTGTTTTAATCCTTAATCAGTGCAAGTACTGATTCTGTGCTGGTTTCTAAAACATGTAGTTAGCACTGCATGGAATACCATCTACAACCATCAATACTCAGCCTGTTCTTATTCCCAGGGCATCAGAAACAGCAGCTTGGTCAGCATTTGATTCTGATGCATACGTTGCCCCTGTAGCATCTGACAACGGGCTTTCAGCTAACTCCAGTGTAAACCCTTCCATGGCAATGAGGAACTATTAAGAGCAAGAAAGTCTGAGTAGGGCAGGAGGTTTCGTGGTTGATGTGTCATATGTGTCACATGACACACATGACTTGTTCACTGATGCAAGGTACATGACAAGTGTATTTTTTTTATTCTGAACTATGGTGGTGCACTGGTTAGCACTATCGCCTTGCAGCAAGAGGACCTGGGAACCTGGGGGGTTCAAACCACAGGGTGGGGGAGCCCTTCTGTGCAGAGTTTGCATGTTCTCCCTGTGTCAGCATGGGTTTTCTCCAGGAACTCCAGCATCCTCCCACAGTCCAAAGACATGCAGGTTAACTGGTGACTCTACATTGCCCTTTGGTGTCAATGTGAGTGTGAATGGTTGTCTGTCTCTATGTGTCAGCCCTGTGATAGTCTGGTGATGTGTCCAAGGTGTACCCCGGCCCTTGCCCAATGTCACCTGGGATAGGCTCCAGCCTAATGAATGAATGAATTATTTTTTTTCTAAACCTAACCAAGTAGCTTTGTTGCCTGTGCCAAAAGTAGTTTTGGTGACAAAACCTAGGTTTCCTCAGGACACAGAATTTAATTGTGAACAGACATTATGTGTGTATTAAGCAGAAAATAGACATGCCATCTTCAAGAGTCTGATGCTATGTCTGACCGAAATTGATAATTGCGGTACCTCAAGTCACAGTTTAAAGTGTAGGGCCACTGACCAAGGTGCCCTATTTGACGAGTCGGGAGTGAAAACATTTTAAAATACTCTGATTTGCAGAATCCATGCACTGACGACCTGAACTCTGCAGCACTGAGGTTCCTTCCAGAGACAATAAGGAACAGGAGGCCTGAATCAGAGAAAGAAGTGGAGACTCGCGTCATTTACACCGCCAGCAGATAGACTCAGGAAGCAACTGTAACTGCAACTCTCAGTGTAACATTGCAACATTGCAACTTTTTTTTAATAAAGTTCCTAAACTGGTCAGTTCATCTTTGTCTCTTTTTTATTTTGTCTGCCTCCATTTTTTCATTTAACAGGGACAAGAACATAATTGATGAGGGGAAGACAAAAGGGACACTGATGACTGTTAAACTTACTCATATGGAGAGTCAAATGGTTTGTCAGGGGGAGGGAGAAATGAGTGAGATATCCCCTGACAGGAAGAGACAGCTCAGTGTGGTCTGAGCACAGCTAACATCAAAGTCACAAGACCAAGTTAGTAAAATACAAAAAAGAAGCTGACTACTTTGATTTTTTTTTTGTTTTTATTTTTTTTGTTTTTTTTTAACAAAATATCGACTTACATATTTGTACAAACTAAAAAATACTGAAGGAAATACATAATAATAGAATGAACCAGCACCTAATGGTGACAAACTGTCTGCATGATAAAGGCTCCACCACAGGAAGACTTCATGACCACAAAAATCAAAAAGCTTGTTGTTTTTAAAGCCTAAGTAATGCTACTAAAGTTGTCATCACTTCACTACTGCCCATTGTCACCTTCTTCAAAGCCATGTAGTACAGTTTACTGTTATCTTTCATTCTATTTGCATGCAGCAAGAACTGTATCGATTTCTGTACTATTAAATATCCAGTGTAATTTGCAAAGGGCATTAGGATCACTTTGCCTAAAATCTATTTTTGTTAACAACATTAAGTATTAAAGTATTTTTTTTTCTTGGTTCTTACATGCTTCTTTCTCTCTTGCTCTCAGTCTCTTTTTATCATTTGTTTGTCCTTAATCTCAAGATGATAAAACAAAAGCATATTTGAGGTTTGATGGAGGAGAAGCCAGTAAAGGACGCTGATAATTTTCAAACGTCCTTATAGGTAGAGTCTGCAGGGAGGGAGGTACTCTATATTTTTCATATCTGACTGGACAAACTGACTTTTTTTTAACTTTCTAACTGTCTCCATTGTATACTGAAACATAATGAAGTGGGTATTAAAAAGTTGGAGGGGTGGCTTTGTACCCTGGCCATGTTTGCATGCACTTGTGGGCAACAACAAACATTGTGCCCCCTCCCTGTTATTTTCCACTGTGATGAAAGCACTTTGTGTTTCAGCTAAAGCGAAAGCCACAGAAAGACTGGCCGTCACTTCTCTGCAATAAAACCACAAGCAACAAGAGCTGTACTACTTTCACACAAAAGCCTAACAACTTAATCTTAAAAGGTGAACATATCTTGTTTATGTATATGTAGAAACGCAGTCCAGTCAGCAGTGAAATACTCTTTTCTCAAATTGTTACGTTCTTTGCAGATGACACCGACCAATTTCCTTACACTTATTGACTCTTTTACCTTTATACATCAGCACCCTGCTTGCAGAAGAAAATGCCTTGTGCAGCATGATACTTGCACAGCCAGATGACAGTGTCTTCCTCATTAAACTGGCATACCTAAAAACAAGGGTGGATATTTTACTTGACTGTTGGGGGGTCTATTAACAAACAAAAATCTCAAGAAGCTCAGAGGGACACTGAATGTACTGTTATTATTACAATACTATTATAAGACCCCTTGTGATGCAGACTCTATCACATATGTACATGTAAATGTAAAAATGTAAGAATTTAGTCACACGGATTTGTTTTTTTCATTGATATAAAAATTAATATAAAATACAGGCACATAGAAGGACATGAAATGATGGCAAATCTGGTTAGCCCTGACTGACCTGAAAAAAACAAGATATAGCATGTGTATGTAACCTTTATAATGACTGTGATATGAGCTTAAAAGTAAAGGCACTAAAATACCCCAAAAACGCCTAGGGCCCATAGGGTTAATACACTCAGTTACAGCGTATGTACAGGTGCGGACACACCAAACCGACATCAAAGAACTAGCAGCGACGAAAGCCAGCTGTTGCGTCGTCTATGTTGCCTCACGTCACCCTGTGTCAGTTGCATTTGAACACACTACACGGACTACATCCGACGGCCAAGTAGCACGTATGTTCTGCACCTGCGTGAGAGGAAATAACGCAAAAAGGGAAACCGGAAGTCCGAGGAATGCATGAGATAAAGTAGCGGAGTCTCGTCAGCCGAGGGGTGTCCTATCTGTACAACCGAGCACCGCAGCCTCTCCACAGACTATTACATCCAGACAGTCCCGGTGTTTCCTCCACAGGCTCCATTTCACTCAGCTGCCCAACAAACCTGCTGCTTCATCCCACTTTAACCTGAATAGCAAACCAGGGCTCGGTGCTGCAGTTGGATCCAAACGGAGAGCCAGGGCTAGCTCGGAGGCTAGCGGAGGCTAACTGGCTGTGCTTCCCTCCGGTCATGCTGCGGCTAACGCTCCGCTAGCCGCTCCCAGGTAGCTCCGGTTTATTATTCTGGTTAAAGTGGGAAGAAGCAGCAGGTCTGTCAGGCAGCTGAGTGAAGTGGAGCCTGAGGAGGAAGCACCGGTTAGCCCCGGTTTCACTACAGGCAGATTCACTCGCTACAGGGGCGAGGGCATAAAACCTAAACAGTCAATTAGAGTGACCTCTTTCACAGACAAGCTCTGCTGCTGATTCAACATGCTCAATTGGCCGACGCCGAAGGACCGACGGTGCGGGACACACCGCAAAAACTAGGCCGACAGACGCTCACCGACGGCCCGACTTTGGTCGACGGCTGACCGTCGGCTTGGTGTGTCAGGGCCTTAAGGTAATTGCTATTACTGTCACTGTATACTTACACTTGTAGGCAATTTGTACAACAGGATGTGTGATTTCATTATAGCTCTTGATTGTAAAATAGATCTGGCAGGTAGAGCATGCTGTAAAATTTGGATTTGTTAGTATTAGTTAGTAGTATTATTGAAATAATAACATGTAAATGTACCATACTCCCCAGGAAGAGAGAGCGAGAGAGAAGACTCTACCAACAGTAGATAATAGTCATATGAATGGTCCTGGCTGAATGCATATCTGCAGGTCCACATTATATCCTCCTGACACCCTGTGTCCTCATATGAGGACACTACATTTAAGGTTTACTTGACCTTATACTTCATTCTACTTGACTTAAACCTGTTATCCTCATTTGTGGACACTTTTTTGTGCCATCTAGTGGCAGTAAGACAACAATACACTAATCCATGTAAAAACAAGATGGCAGCCATCTCTGCCAAGTCAGTCCACAGCCGATCCCAACACAAAAGTGGACAAGGTCCAAAACCTGATCACATTTTATGGTTGAAACTTGTTTGTGTATGACTAATAATGTTTGCAGTTTGATATGGTAACATTTAAACAATTGTAGCAACAGTAACAAGCTAAGACTCTGTTTATTAGGAAGTACTCATTTGAAGACATTGGGAAATTAATTAATTAATTATCGTCTTGTTTGAGGACACTTGGACTTTGTTGTTGTCTCATTTGAGGACTTTGGGACTTTATTATTATTGACAAGCTTTAGTTCTTCATCCTTGTGGTATCCTAATGATCCCAAATAGCAAGGAGGTAGGGTCTGGAGGATTTTCCAGTTGCTGTTTGTAAACACACATTCAAATTCGGCCCCTCCTATCAGGCTCAACTCTCCCGGGTGTACGGAGCCCGGAGGTATGGAAGAAGGCTTCACAGATGAGGTTCAGGCAAGGATCGCGCTGGTGCACGCTCGGACACGCTCAGACACGCTCGGGCACGGCACCTGCGCTCTCTCATTGGCTGGGTAAATCTCTGCCCAGAAGTGGTCCGAGCTCACAAAAACATCAAAATACAGTTAAAGGGCAGGAGCTGTGCAAACAGAGTCACCACCACACATGAGTAGAAGCCCATAGGTGATGATTAAGCAGGATTTCATTTGTATATGTCTATATTTTGTTTTGTTTGAAAATCCTCCAGATCCTACCTTTAAAAATGCATACCAAACAAAAATTCGGGTCTCAGGAAGACATACGTCAGAAATGTCTGTATCCTCACTGCGCTGCATTTTTAGAAACTATGACAGTCTGGTAATTGGTCCCCAGAGTTGGGTAAGGGTTACTTTAAAAGTAATCAAAGCACTTTACTGCGTTACTTGTTTTTTTTTTAAAGTAAAAAGTTACTTCCTGAGTAAAGTAACTCAAGCACTTTTAAAGTACTTCTGAGTATTCTACATTTCCTATTGGGCAATCGACCACACGGTGCTAAGCCTACATTTTGTTGTCTTCAAAATTAAAGTTATGGACCACTTGCCCTTCACTGAGATCCAATTCTCCCATCACAGCCGTCACTTTGACCAGTAGAAACACAGAACGATCTGCTGCCGTAGACAACTGTATGACAACAACACCCCAGCGTTTTTAATATTTCCTCTAGGGATGTTACCACACAGAGTAAAAGGGGGAAATGATGGTGTGAAACAGCAGAGGCACTTTGTCAACCCGCTGAGTTAACGTTACTGTCTTTAGCATCAAGCTAGCAAACAATGGTACATCCTCACGGTCAGACATAAAGTAATAACAATAACAAATAGAGAAGGGGCTTTTACTCGCCACGACTGCAGAGGCTCCCAGCTTCATTTGAAACAAACTACATTATAGACGGTCCGTTATTTATTAATCCCTCTGTGTTTTTATATTTTCACTTTTTATCCGCTCCGTTGTCTTTGTAAAGTTAACATATTGCACAGTCATTTCAAACTCAACACTTCCTGAATTTCTTTCAAATTAAAAGCCCCTTATAACCTCAGCTGAGAGAATCCCTCCATTTTCTAAATAGGCTTTTATTGTGAAACATTTGTAGGAACTTGGTTGTGGAGTAGGCTAACCAAACACTTCACGTCCTGTCCGGGGCGTGTTTATAAATTGATGATAATGTCCGGTTTTTCTTGTGCGTGTGTGTGTGTGTGTGTGTGTTAGAGTGCAGCACGGGCTGCATATTTCTGTCTGAACCCGACAGTCATTCTGTTTTGTTATGTCCGAAACCAAACCGAGCCCGACATTATTTAATTACTAAAGCACTGAGTTTGTGTCACACAGTTGTTATGGTTACAGGCTATTTAACAGGCTGGGCGTGCGCCATGGCTGTTCCGCGAAGAGGGAGACCTCCGTGTTTGAGACGGGAGCAGGCGGCAGGAGGTC